GAGGGTAACTGTCTTTGGGGCACGCCTTGTTTAAGTCTGTGTAGTCTACACACATTCGCCAGGTGCCATTCGGCTTTTTAACAAGTACCACATTTGCAACCCAGTCTGGGAAGTAACATTGCCGAATGAACCCTGCATCAAGTAATTTTTTAACTTCGGCGGCTGCCGCCTGACTTCTTTCTTCGCCATGGTTCCGCTTCTTTTGCCGTACCGACTTCTTTTTCGGATCCACAGCGAGTTTATGTACTGCCAGATCAGGACTAATGCCTGGCATTTCATGGACTTCAAATGCAAAGATGTCCTTGTATTCTTTCAATAGGTTGTGAAAGTCGTCACCAAGGTTTCTCAGAGCAGTCGTCCCAACTTTGACTGTTCGGTCAGGACGTGAGTCGTCTAAGATCAGGTCCGCATGCTCACCAGCCGGCTGAGGGCGGAACTCATCCGGCCGCTCCTCTGCCAATGATTGCTATTTTCTTGCTTTTCTTGCGGACTCTGTCTGGGACGCCTTTCTCTTTTTGGCGCCTGCTTCTTGAACAGGCGCACTCTCCTTGACATTGTCAAGGTCTGTTTTTTCACCACTTGATCCAGTGGCCATAACAGTGGGCTTGACATCCGAGAGATAGCACTCTCGGGCCATCCTCTGATCTCCCCTTAGGGAGCCGACTGTTCCATTATCCCTCTCAAACTTGAGCAGCATAAGAGACGGGATTATAACAGCCTTGGAATTATTCAGGGTTGGTCGACCCAGAATCATGTTGTAGGCCGAGAGTTCCTCTACTACTAGGAACCGGACTACCATGTGTCGTCCTTCCCCTTTTTCGCCCAGGCGAATGGGTAAATCTACTCGTCCTAGTGGGTGGACGACTCCTCCTCCAAACCCTATTAAAGGGTGGGAGGCCGGATGTATGCAATCCGTCTGATATTTCAGTTTTGACAGACATTTGCTGCTGATGAGATCTGAGGAGCTCCCGGTATCTATGAGGATTCGGCCAACTCTCTGGTTGGCCACTTTACATTCAATAACGAGAGGGTTGTCATGCGGCCCCCTTACCCCTCCTAGATCCTCTTCAGTGATGACAATCTCAGGAAATGTATATTTGGACGGCCGTTCTTGGTGAACGGAATTTACATCTAACCGCCTTATATTATCTTTGTTGCCCCTAATAGTGGGGCCGCCTCCTGAGAAGCCGCCTGCAATGGTGTAGACGACTGCATCATCTGTATCGGAGCTGTCGGCCTGTTGATTCTTTTTGGCCGACTGCTTTTTTGAGGAACTGTTCCCCGTAGATTTCTTGACATAAGTGTCAAGATCACCTTGCTCAGCCAGGCGGTCTAGGTACCGCATGAGACTGATGCAATCATTGGTGTGATGACCAACGTCATCATGATAAGCACAGATTTTATCTTGGTTCCGGTTGTTTGCAGAACCCTTCATGGGGACCGGCTTCTCAATTGAGATCCGTCCCTTTATTTCTTTTAGGATAAACTGGTTATCCTTGTTAAACACATACTTTGGGGAGTATGGTTTGAATTCTTTTTTCTTTTTCTGGGCCGGCTCTTTAGAGGAATCAGCCGCCCAGACCTCTTTTCTTTTCTCATCTTTGTTAGACGACTGTTTCTGTCGTCCTTCTCTTTTGTCGAACCTTTTCCCGTCCGACTGTTTTATCGTACACAGATCAGTCGCCTGTATATAGGCTTCTGCTTCAATCAAGGCCTCTTGAAGAGTCGCCACCCTTTTTCGAACTAAATCAAATTTGAAGGTAGACCCGTCTTTGAGACCTCTAAAAAAGTCAGTATAAGCTACCTCATCCGGTAACCCTTGAATCTGTATTCTCATCAGGTTGAACCGCCTGATGTAAGAACGAAGCCCCTCCTTCTCGCCCTGCTGAATTGTTCCCAAATCAAGGGTCGTTTTCTTCGCAGGGATGTTCATGGCGAAGTTGGAGGCAAATAAGTAAGCAAGCGTCCTGAAGCTGTTTACACAACCAGTCGGCAGGTTGCCGAACCATTGCTGTGCGATTCCCTTGAGAGTCGCTGGGAAACACTTGCACCAAGTGGGATCATCCAACCCTTGAAGGTACATCAGGTTGGTGAATGCCATCAGATGGTCTTCTGGGTTAGTAGTGCCGTCATAGGCGCCTACTAGTACATTTTTTACTTTGGCCGGCTGAGCGGCTTCAGTAATTTCCTTGGAGAAGGCCGACGGCTGTTCACCAAGTCTAAGCAACCGTAGCTGCCAGTCCATAGGTTGGACGTTTTTGCTGCAGGTCCACCAAATGGAGGTGGCTGCATAAAATACTGTTGTTGCGGAACAAATGGTAAGTTTGGTACCGCCTGGGCACTATGAAAGCCGGACTGACGGGAGGTGCCGCCTGACTGACTCTCATGGTACGACTGAGTATGCCTCATCGAGGCATTTCGCAAACTGTCTTGAAAATTTGAAGTAGAAGCCGACTCTGACAATCGGTCACTCTTCTTCTGCTCTAGCAGTAGCCGAGCATCTGTGAACGTTTGCTTTGACCCGTCCGCCTGAATATGACGAACCGGTTTCCTATTTCCTGTAGGATAACGGAATTTTGTGAAATCAAGGGCAGGTGGCTCCCGCTTCCTAGATTTAGGATGAGGAGTCGCCTCTCGCCCTTGAACTGGCTTCCTCTTCTGTGAAGTGGAAGGTTTCTTGGCCGACTGCTCCTTGACTGAAGCAGGCGGCTTCTTGTTGATCAACTCTTGGATCTCTCCCTTGAAGTCCCTCATGAAGGTCATGAGTTCGTTCCTTGTGATGGGAGCAGACCCATCAGTCGGCTGTTGCCGAGCAGGAGGTGCGCCTGCTGGCTCACTTCCTGTTTGAAGATGCTCCCGTTCCCTCCTTTCGGTATGACGGGTACGTCGGGCCCTTAGGGTCCCGTCTGGAGCTGTATGAGTTTCAACTTCAAATTCACTTTCGGTGTCATGGTCCGACTGAACTTGAGGGTCGTTTAGGGGACGCCTCTCTTCAGGAGTCGGTACAGAGTTGGATGCCATCTCTGAAGTACTCTCCCCACAGACGACGCCAAATGTTTCGGGGTTTTCTGATGTCCTGCGGGAGAGTTACAATTCCGAGACTGGAACCGGACGCCTGTACCTGCAAAATAACGGAGACTCCTGAGAGCTCCGCCTCCAACGGTCAAGTTAGTACCTGATTAAGGAGTAATTAATACGGAAATTAAAGTAATAAGATCTCTCTAGGTGAGAGTGTTTAATGTAGGTAATCTGCTTTGTTAGCGAGATTAGCCGGTTATTAGTGTTCCGTAATGTTTCTGTTCTGTTCCGTTCTTCAGGTGAGATTAGTTGCTTGATCAATTGCTCTCTCAATTGCTTGATTGCTTGATCCCCTTTAATGAGGATTAATTAAGTATTTATAGTCTTGAGAAGCGTGCCACTCTCTAGGTTTAGGGTAAACCTAGGGCTGACCGGGCCTCTAGACAGGATTGGGCCTTGTTGGCCGGTTTTCCTATTTGGCATGGGTGGACACGTGGCGTGCCTCGATTGGTCCGTAGAGGACGTATCTGTGATTGACACGTGGCAGGCTCCTATTGGCCTACGTGAAGGACACGTGGCGGAACCTGGTTGGTCCACTTGTCAGACGGTGATTGGTGGATAAAAATCCCCTAATCACATTCCTTTCACAAATTGCTTCATCAATTGCTTCATCAAAGTAATCATAAGCAAGTTCACACCGACCTTGCTCGCCTTGCGCTATATTACTAATCGCGATTGTAATCGCTACTACAAATCAAATTCGCCAGGTTATTGAATTGCATGTTAATTAGATGATAATTTTAAATTTTTTGGTTTGTTCTGTTCTTATTAATTTGCATATTTAATTGCATCAATCACCAAGTTATTGAATTGCATGTTAATTGCATGATGATTTTTTATTTTTGAGGTTTGTTATGTTCTCATTGAATTGCTTGTTTAATTGCATCAATTATGGATTTGATTGAATTTACTTCTTTGAAATTTTTTGAATTAAATCAATAATTTAGGTTTGATTAATTTGATAGAAATTGGAAATTTGCAATCAAATTTAAAATGAGCAAATGAATTGAAAATGATCAAACCTAAATATTTGTAATAATATAAAAAACATATAATGAGCAAACATAATTAAATTGAGCAAATCCAAAAAAAATGAGCAAATATAAAAAGGAGCAAATGAGCAAAATAAGTTGGTAATGGTGGTGGTGGTGGTGGTAGGGTGTAGGGGACAGGGGCGACAGCGAGGGAGTGAGAGTGAGACAGGTTGTGGTGGTGATATTGGTGGTGGTAAGGTCCAGGGACAGGGGCGGAGGAAGCAGATAGAGTTTTGTGGTGGTGGTGATTGTACAGTGTAAGATAAAGGGTGAGAAATGGGATTCAGCTCATTAACATGAGTTGCAGAAGCAGTGAAAGTGAAAGAGGTAGATGTAGCTAATGAGCAAATATTTAGTTGCTCATTTATCAAATGAGAAAGTGGTTGTGCTTCTTAGATTGAGCACTTCTGTGTGCTGTGATAATCTGAAATTACTGTGTGTGTGTGTGTGTGTAAGTGAGTGTAAGAGTGCATGTGTTAGAGTGTGTGTGTGTGTCTAAGAATGTATGGTTTTTGTAGGCAAATATGCTATACTGAATGCTATATATGCTAGGTTTTGCAAATCATAGTGAAGGGTAGCATTATCAAGTTTTACTCCTTTTCAAGTCATCTAGTTTATACTATCAAAGCATTGAGTTCCTTGGTTTTTTTGCCTGCACACAAGCCCCACCCCCCTTCTTATTTTTCTGTTTCCTGTACACCAACCACACTCCCTTCTTACACTTCCTTATACATACCTATTCCCCCCTCCCCCTCATCTTTCTGTTTGCAATTCTGATTTTTGAATCTGATTTCAGATCTATTTTAGATTCTGAAATTATTTTGTGTGTGTGTGTGTGTGTGTGTGTGTGTGTATGTGTGTGTGAGTAAGTGTAAGAGTTATGCTGTAAGTAGTAATTAGTATGGTTAAAAACATGATTCAGCAACACATATGAGATTTTTAATGAGCTTCCTTAAACTATTTTATGGAATTGTTACTAACCTGTTATTTCTATTATATTTAATGTCAGAAATGATGAGCAACAACGAAGAACTTGACAGACATTCTAGTACCATCACAAATGTGGCAACTACTCCTACAATAGTAGTTTCTCCTAAAATAGCACCTTTGCTCACTCCTGGAGGAACAAAAGAATGGCTTCCAATATGCCCCAATGAGTTGAAACCAGCTATAGGGATGAAGTTTAATAATATTGAAGAGGGCCTTGAATTTTATAAAAGTTACGCATTTGCTGCTGGATTCAACACAAGAAAGTCTACAACTAAAAGACAAAGAAGAAGCAAAAAATTGAAATCACATTATATCTTATGCAATAAGGAAGGATACAAAGAGAAAAGAAAGGCTACCGTTGAAAAACATTTAAATAACAAGGAAGGAGAAAGTAATGAAGAAAAAGCTTCAATCAAAAGGAAGAGACTCGTTACTCATGTTGGGTGCAAGGCACATATTGTCATAAAGCATTGTGATGATAACAAATTCATAGTGTCACAATTTCATGAGGGACATACTCATGCACTTTATACGCCTAGTTGCAATCTCTTCCAAAAAGAAGGAAGGAAAATGAACATATTGCACAAGAAAATAATTGTGAATAATTCTAAGGTAACACTTTCAAAGTCTATTATGTTTCATGAATTCTCTATATGTTCTAATAAAAGTTGTTTGCTCATTTGACAAATGATCAAATAATTATTTGCTCATTTGACAAATGATCAAATAATTATTTGCTCATTTGAAAAATGAGCATTGAATTGTTTGTTCATTTCAAAAATGAGCATTAAATTGTTTGCTTATTTGACAAACTGTTTTGTTCTTTAAATAGGTGAATATTGGTCCCGTTACAACTTTCCGAATGATGAAGGAAATTGTTGGAGGATATGATAACATTGGTGCATCTAAGTAAGATTTCAAAAATTTTCACAGAGATTTAAAAGCATACATTCAAGGAAGCGATGCTCAAATGTTTGGGATAATTTTACCAATAAAAAGCTAATGTGGAGTGCTTTTTTCTTTGATTTTGAGATGGATGAAAATTATTGCCTTTGTAGAGCATTGTGGGCAGACCCCCTTTGTAAAAAGAGTTATGCTCTATTTGGTGATATGGTATCCTTTGATACTACATACCAAACCAATAGGTAATATATAATAATCACAATTCATTTCTATGTTATAACTATGGCTTAACTTAATGACTTTTTTTTTATATGAACTTAGTATAATTGTTTGCTTACTTCAATGTGAAAAGTAAATATCCCCATAAGTCTAATTTTCTTTGATAAGAGTATGTTTATGGACATTGAATTGCATGTTCATTTGACAAATGAGCATTGAATTATTTTGTCATTTGACAAATGAGCAAAGAATTGTTTGCTTATTTCACAAATGAGCATTGAGTTATTTTCTCATTTGTCAAATGAGCATTGAGTTATTTGCTCATTTGACAAATGAGCATTCAATTATTTGCTCATTTGACAAAAGAGCAAAGAATTGTTTGTTTATTTCACAAATGAGCATTGAGTTATTTGCTCATTTAAAATTTAATCTGTATGTATAAACAGGTACAACATGGTGTTTATTCCATTTACAGGGGTTGACCATCATAAGAGTTGCATTACTTTTGCTTCTGGTTTCATAGCAAAGCAAGATATTGTGTCATTTGAGTGGTTGTTCATATCATTTCTCAAGGCAATGGGTGGGAATGAACCTAATTGTATAATCACGGATCAGGATCCAACAATTAAAATTACTGTTAAAAGTGTGTTTAAGAAGACTGAACATCGGTTCTGTATGTGGCACATAATGAAAAAGTGACCAGATAAGGTGGAGAAATCAATCATGCAAGAAGAAATTGGTTTCCTAAAAAAAATATGTGCTTGCGTTTGGCATCTTGAAATTGAACCCGCTGAGTTTGAAGAAAGGTGGAACAAGGTGATGGTTGAATACCACTTGGAAGAACATGAGTGGTTAGTTTATATGTACAAGATAAGGGACAAGTGGATTTTGGCGTATTTTAGAGATGTGTTCCTTGGAGGAATAATGCATACAACATTAAGATCCGAAAGTGAAAACAACTTTTTCTGCTCCTTTATCAATCCTCATGTGTCACTTGTTGAGTTTTACTTAAGATATGTAGCTGCAATTGATGCTTAAAGACACACTCAAGGTCGGAATGATAATGATTCAAAGCACAAATATCATGAGTGCAAAACACCACTAGGGATAGAAAAGCATGCCTCACATTTATATACTAACTCTGTCTTTTATGAATTTCAATATGAGGTTGAAATTTCTTGTTTTTCTTGTGGTTTTGATGAATTGAATAAAGAAAATGGATTGGAAGTTGCAAAAGTAAGTGAAGGAAATCGGATTAGAACATTTGATGTTGTGTTTAATCCAACTAACGATGACACCACATGTTCTTGCAAGCTATTTTATAGACAAGGAATTCCATGTAGACATATGATTTGGGTTTGAAAAGCAAAAGGGTTTGAAACCATTCCTAAGCAGTATATGCTACACAGATGGACTACTATGGCACTAAAGAAACCAATTTTTGACTTGGGTGGAAACCTGTTGGAGCAATGTGCTAATTTAATTAACAAGAAAAAATTGTTAAATGATTTATGGTCAGAGATACACACTTGTGTAAGTTTGGCAGAAGGCAAAGATGAAGATATTTAAGACCTTTTGATAAATCTTCAAGGAATAAGAAAGGATTTAGAGGCTAAGAGGATTGCAAGAAATAATGAAACAACAGCTGGAAGTGCAAACAACAAAGGACAAGACATTGAGCTATTGATTGGAGCTAGTGTGCCAACTAAAATAATTGTCAAACCTCTAAAAATTTCAAAGAATAAGGGGACTGGAGTTCATGTATCAAATGAAGAGACTTCAAAAAAGAAAGGAGTTGAGATTGATGTGCCAAATGTTGAAACAAGAGGTAGAAGTGCAAAAAGGCTGTAGGGAGAAAAAGAAAAGTTTGTAGAACAAAACCAGAAAAAGAAGAGATTATGTAGAGGTTGTGGTGAATTGAGTCATCATGATATAGAACTTGTCTAGAAAAAGTGTAATGATAACTTTATATAAATATAAGATTTAATATTTTTATATAAATTCCTAACTGTAGGCCGTACTTGTTATTTCTTTATTTGTTTTCTGTTCTTGTCATTGTGTGCATCTATTTGTCACTCTGTCAGTACGCTTTGATCTATTAGACTGAAAGACTTTGTAGGAGAAAGAAGTTTGGGAAGAATAAGATCAAAAATACCACCAATGGCCAAAAGATGTTGAGGGATTTGTTATAATAATCATGCTTCGAAATGCAATTGAGCTTAAATTTGAAGTTTAATATTTTTAGCACATCCCCTCATATAGAAATTTTGTGTTTTTAATGTTGTTGAAATGAGCAAATAGTTAATTGCTCATTTGTCAAATGAGCAAACATTTCTTTAATCATACATTAAATCAACAACCATTTCTTTGCTCATTTGTGAAATGATATACACTTTATAAATAATTAGTTACTCATTTGGAAAATAAGGAAACACTTCTTTGATCATTTAGGAAATGAGCAATCACTTTTTTGCTCATTTAGCAAATGAGCAAATAGTTAGTTGCTCATTTGTCAAATGAGCAAATAGTTAGTTGCTCATTTGTCAAATGAGGAAATAGTTAGTTGCTCATTTGTCAAATGAATAAATAGTTAGTTGCTCATTTGTCAAATGAGCAAATAGGTAGTTGCTCATTTATCAAATGAGAAAATAATTAGTTACTCATTTGTAAGATAAGAAAACATTTATTTGATCATTTGGCAAATGAACAATTAATTTTTTGCTCATTTAGAAAATGAGCAAATAGTTAGTTGCTCATTTGTCAAATGAGCAAATACTTAGTTGCTAATTTAACAAATGAGCAACAACTTAGTTAATAAGATCAACTTTTAGAAAATGTTTTCCATTACATTGACATACCAAAGTTATAACAACAAAATAAACAAAAACACATTTGTTAAATTTGATCATTTGTCCCATTGATAACATCATAAAAAATAATACTTCTATTGTTCTATACAAATCCTTAGAACATTCTACCAATTGATCAACTTCAGTCTTCAATTTTCTCCGTTGAATGCTCTTGGATTGCTGCCCCTAGCTTTCTTCAGTTGTAAGGCTAGGTTCCTCAACCTTTTTTTTCTTTTGAACAATTTCTTTAACATATTTAACAGTATTTACTTCACTTACAATAATTGCGAAGCAATACTTCAAACGAAGTTTTTCAATGATTATGACCTGCAAAGAGAAAAAATGATGCAATAGTTCAGGGTAAGTATAGGAAAGCAATAGTTTAGAAGTTGCAGAAGGTCATCTTAGAAAGCAAAATTTTGATTCAACTAGTAGCAAAATATAATTAAAATGAAAATAGAATTAAAATGAGCAAAATAGAATTCAAATGAACTTATAAGAGGCGAGACAAGAAGTAAGTTCTTACACGGAATCGAAGTTTGTCACTGATACAGCCCAGACAAACAGTGCATCTTCACTAGGTATGATGGCAGTTGCTAGTGAATATTGCTCATGTCAGTTGCTAGGTATGTTCTCTATTATCATCACATATTTCAGAAATACGTAGAAAAAAAAGATGGAATCTATTTCTGAAATATGGAATCTATCCCTCAGTATCTATATACTCCTAATTCTGTTTTGTGATGGCTTCAGTGTCACTTCCTGCAGAATCATGTCATGTGACTTTTTTTAAACAAGTGATTAGACTAAGCATTAATAAATTATTTTATCACCAACTAGACTAGTATTTGAAGAGCAAACAAGAAAACAAGAATAGATGTAGAACAAGGGACGAACATTGTGCTGTAACGCATAACGGAATCATCTGTTTAAACCGTCAATTTGCTTCTCTAATTTTGATTCGACTAATGTTGTAACTTATCTAACATGAACTTATAAGATCTTAACTTAAGTATTTGCTCATTTGAATCATTGAATCACAAGACAAAAAAGGTATCAATGTATATGCTCATTTGACAAATGAGCAAATAATTATTTGCTCATTTGACAAATAAGCAAATAATTAAGTATTTTAGTAAGGAACACGGCCTGTAAGTTGCAACAACAAGCATGAAATGTGAAAGACTTACATTATTTTTCTTTAAACCTGAATTCCACTTTTGCAAACCCATATATGTTTCCATATGCCTCATCATTGCAACTCCACAATGCAAATGATCATCATCTGAAGACTTCCAGAGTAAATCAATCACTTCAGAATCCATAGACTTGATCTCTTTCGACAAAACAACACTTTGTATAGTTCCTTGACCATCCATGAAATATGAAAATGCGCTTTTCTGAAAATGAACAAAAAAATTAAAATAAGAATAAAAACAGGCTGAACAAATATAGTCAGAACAAATATATGCAGAACAAGACCAAGATAAACAACTAAACTCTAACCATTTTTCTAAAATAATCTAACAAAATCTTGAGCCATACCAGGTTTTTAAGAAATTTCTTGTTTTCTGTAGAGCCTTCACTATAATCAATAACCTCCATTGTATCACGCATTGTGGTGATGTTAAAACATACCAAAAAATAATGATCTTTTTCAAATACTGGGAAAAAGAAAAGCTCAATATCTTTCTTTGGGATGACTGATTTGCTGAATTCCAACTCCCCAATAACATAAAACATTTTATTCCTTTGTAGAGCACAATCAGTTTCATATTGAAAAAGGCATTCCTAAAAAACTACATAAAGAAAATACATAAATAAGATGAATACAAATGAAAAGAGTAAATATGAAATGAGCAAAGTGAATATGAAATGAGAATAGTCATATAAAATTAGTAAATTGAAATTTTTTTAACAAATAAGCACGGAAGGTTTTGCTCATTTGACAAATGAGCAAAAAATTAACTGCTCTTTTGACAAATGAGCAAAAAATAAATATTTATTTTCAATGAATGAGCAAGAATAGTTTGACAAATGAGCAAAGAACTAATATTAGTTTTTGGAAATACAAACTACATCTACATTAAAATATAAAAAATCATATGAATTGATCAAAGTAAATATGAACAAAATAAAACAAAATAAAATGAAAGAGTTGAACTTACACTTGTAGTAAGACTGAAAAAGATATGTCCAGTAGAATTGGTATTTCTATATTGCTCATTATAATTCAGAACAGTAGACCATGCATTAATGATTTTGCCATGAATTTTGTTCTGATTTTTTAGCATTTCAAGTTGAAATATCATTACTTCAGTACTAGTATCACCCTCACATAAAAACGTTGGATCACTACATATAAGATTTAGGAAAGTTAATATAATTTCAATCGAAGGTATTTAAAATGAGAATACAGAGCTGGACTCGTTTTAAGAAAGAAACATAAGGTGAATTTCCAATTTCCAAAGGATTACTTCAAAATGCAAGAGGCTACTGAAATTTCCATCACCCTTTAGTCTGAAATGTATCTCTTAAAATAGGTCTAACTCAGTATTTCTAAATAAGAAAATATTGCTCATTTTGAAAATGAGCAAAATTTAGATAAGTCAAGATAAACAATTATATGAATTCAATAAATACTTTCAAACGATTTTTCTTCTCATGAAAAACTGAATCCATAATAACTTTCTGAACCGTTGTTAATGGTGTGTAAATGTTGATAATCCGAGACTTAAAAGGAGATCTAATCTGCAACAATGGTTACACTCTACGCTTCTTCTTTGGAATAGAACTCTCCTTTTCAGTATCTTCTTTTCTCTTATGCACAATTGGATCTTCTTGAGCATTCAGAGCATCAACATTTAGAGCATCAGCAACAGTAGCAACAACTAATATAGAAGCTATTGCAGAAGCTCCAACTTGTGCACTAACTGGAGCAACTACAGGTTCATCAGTAGGTGCAAACCTAGGGGACTTCTCCTGAGAATTAGTTTCTTGAGAAGAGATTCCTAAACTGAATGTAGGAGTTCCAAATCCTTTGGCAACTAAATTTCTTAAACTATATCTAAACATATGTTCAGCAGCCCTAGGTTCTAAGACAACGGATGGAGATCCAACATCTGCGATACCAGTTGCTATGTGAACACATTCAGCAGCAATCTTAGTAACATCAATGGGTTCTAATTCATTTAGATGATCAACCCTTGCATTGATTGTAGATTCAGCATGCTTGTCGTTGCCTGAAATCTTTGAAAACCTATCCTAGGCTTCAATTACTGCCGGATCTTGCCAATACTGTTCATCTTGGAATGAAAGAGGATTATCTTCAGTCAAAGTTTTGGAGCTCATCTTATGCTCATCACAAATGCTCAAGGCATCTTCCTTCAACTTTTGTATCTTCTTATTGTTTGGAAAATACTTGATGGCAACTTCATGTTTTTGATTGAAATCCATGTATGCCAAGACTAGGTTTGTAGATGTTGTTGCAAGCTCCATAAAGCATTTCTGTATTAAAAAAAAAAAAAAAAAATACATAATAAGATGAATATAAATGAAAAGAGTAAATATGAAATGAGCAAAGTGAATATGAAATGAGCAAAGTGGATATGAAATGAGAAAAGTAATATAAAAATGAGCAAATTGAACTTTGTATGAGCACCGAAGTTTTGGCTCATTTGATAAATGAGCAAAAATTTAGTTGCTCATTTGACAAATGAGCAATAAATTAATTGCTCATTTGACAAATGAGTAATAAATTAATTGCTCATTTGACAAATGAGTAATAAATTAATTGCTCATTTAGGATATCCATTGAAGCTATTGTAAGATCCATAAGGCGTTTCTAGAAAAAACATAAAATGAGCAAATTGAATATCAAATGATCAAAATCATAATGACCAAAATTGATTCAGATTCTGATTTAAAATCATAAGGCGTTACTCTGCACTTTGTACCAGTGAACAAAAGATATAAGGCTAAGGTTGTTGCTATTGGGTATCAAAAAGTGGAAGGGTAGGATTTTAGTCATACTTTCACTGCTGTTACAAAGCTAGCTACTATTGGTTTGGTTTGTTATAAGTAAAGTCATATGAAAATTAGCAAATTGAACTTTATATAGGCACTGAAGTTTTTACTCATTTGAAAAATTCTTGGTAACTAGACAAATAAAATTGAGAGACAGAAATATAGCAATATCATATTATCATGAGCGGGAACACAGCATGGCAGGCAGCTTTACATGGATTATAGGGATGATTACAAGTAACTGAATATATGATATCACTAGTGACAGGGCATGAAATGATCAAACAGATCAAGGGGGGAGAGCTGATTTGTAATAAATCAGGAACAAATCAAGCAGGAACAAAACATGGCAGGAACAACACCACATATAAACTAATCACAGTCTACTTAATGATAGTGTACATTGAAGATATTTGAAATGGTAGTCAGACATAACAAACTATTGCCAAATTTATCATGTTGATCTTGAAACTCACAGTAGAATAGTCAAACAAATTTCACAAGCGACAAAAACATTTCTTTATGTAGTCAGAGAGGTCCATTGAAGCTTCTTGCAAGATCCATAAGAATTAATATTGGATTCCAGAAAACTCATATAATACCTTCTTTGGATCTTGTTCAGTTTCTTCGTTTTTTGTACCAATTTGATCAGATTGTTCCTAAAATCTAGCCAAAAAAAAAAAAGTAAGAACAAGTTGAAATCAAATATCCTAATTATTTGCTCATTTGACAAATAAGCAAAGTGGATATGAAATAAGCAAATATTTTTTTACTGATTTAGGAGGTCCATTGATGTGCTATAAAGAGCACCACATTGCATCATTTTCCTAAAGGCAAGATTTGTTCCCATTCAATTCTACAAGCAATGCCGAAGGCATAGAAAAGCTAAGTATTGGTTACAAGTGAAATACCATTTTTGGTTGTTTGCTGCCACAAGGACCAACAAGCTTCAAATTTTTATCAAAAAAGTCCAAGCCTCCCCTTAAAAATTTCCAATTTCTCACGACTAGACAACATATTGGTTGTCCAACCTTTGAGAACTGGAGTTTTTCGTTTGACTCTAACTTCCTCAATGACAAACTGATCAACATATAAAAGCTACAAACAAGTAAGATAGAAAAAATTAGTACATTAAAATTAAAGAAATAACAATTAATACATAAAAAATTAAATAAACTTAGAAAAGACCAGCCCCACCCCCTACTGCCACCTACCCACACATTTTAGTTCAGTAGCTGATCACAATTTTGATTTCAGAAACTGATTTCAAAATCTGATTTCTGAATCTAATTTTAGAATCTGATTTAAGATTCTATTACAGGATGTGAGTGTGTGTGTGTATGTGTACACTAGGCGAAAATTGCTAATCAGCATCGGTTCAAAACCCCCATTTCGCACTGGTTTTGAACCGGTTCTGATTTGAGGGATGCCAAATCCCAAGACTTTTCGCACCGGTTCAAAACCGGTGTGAAAAGTCCCCAAAAATATTAAAAAAAAAACTTTTAGCACCGGTTCTTGCTTTGAACCGGTGCGAAAAGTGGCCAAAAAAATTAAAAAAATACTTTTAGCACCGGTTCTGTTCCAAAACTGGTGCCAAAATGCCCAAAAAAAATATTTTTTTTTTTGCATTTTTTTCATTTAAATTGTACCAAATACTTATATATAATCATAATATACATAAAACACATATATTTTCTTCAATAACTTGTAATATTACACTTTAAAAAACAAAAAAAAAAAAAAAAAAAAAAAAAAAAAAAAACTACAGTGTGCTGCCCTATCAAAAAAATAAATAAATAGATAAATAAATAAAATGAAGTGAGACATAATATAATCCATGGCACTAGAGATAGCACTGTCGATATAAATACGTATGGAATCCTTCTCCTCCCTCTTATGGGTATACAATCTGATATAATTCTACAAACAAGAGAAAACCACAAGCATCAACAACTGAAAGAACAAATATACAGAATGCTCTATTACCCTCATTATGTGAAGCAACAAAGGAAGGTACTACTTAGTAGTTAATGCAAATCTACATGGTAAAATTATACCACATTGTTACTTTAGCAAATATACAGAATGCTTCAGTTGTTACTATATTTGTTCCATGCGGATTTGTATTACTACTAAGTAATAACTTCCCCTATTGCTTCACATAATGACATTTGAGGGATACAAATCCGCATGGTAAAATTAAACTACATTATTACAATAATGATAGAAAAATTAAATATCTTGATGACATGCCAGGAAAACACCACTATTCTATCAACAAATATTCAGAGACAGCATGTAAAGAAGATTACAACAAGTAGCTTGTGAGAGCACAGGGAGTAGTTATAATATTATTAACAATAAACATGTAAAGAAGATTGCAGCAACAATAACCTACCTCAGGTGCGAGATAACAAAGCCTTCTTCCCCCAGTATCAAAGAAAAATGAGAAATCAGATGGACCAATTCCAAGAAGTAACCAGCACATTCTCACACTTAATATCACCTCCAAAATGAAAAACCAAACACCAAATTATACACAATGCAAACCCATAAAAGACAAAACACAAAATTACCAGAGTGCAGTCACTTACCATGACAAATATCATGCTCGTGACTCTGCTTCAATGCACACAAAAGCTGAAAGCAAGAATTTGAGATGCCAAAGTAATCAATCAATCCAATTCTAAAAGGACATACAAAGTTGTAGAGTAGGAAAAAACTACATGAAAACCTGAAAGCAAGCCATTTCTTCTCAATTAGGCTAAGAAAAGGCCTTGTACCAAGCCGATCATGGAGATTATTGAAGAAATATTGCCTGAGCAGATAAGCTGCCTTGTCGGTTTCCAGCCAAAACTGCTCACACCCAGTTCAATACCATCAATATTAGAACTTCCCATATTGTCAAAAGATAAAGGAAAGAAACAAAAAAAAACTCAAAAAATACATTACACAGCCAGCCAAAAAGAAAGTTCAATCCCAACAATCGAGAGCACCCACAACTCCACAAGATCAACTCAAGTTCCTCAATAGTACCAACATAACCAGTAGAGAAGAATTCTCATACTGTTCCAAACAATGCCAGCAACCCAAAACACCGCTTCCTCAATCGCAAATCCCCACATAATCAAAATATAGAAACCCCTTCCCTACCACCAATACCCTCCCCAAAAAAACCAAAATCTTGCAGCAACCTAGTCGAAATTCCACTAACACCAGAAATACCCACATAGAAAAACTTCATATTTCCAGAATTTGACAAAAAACAGCTCAATTGCATAAGAATAATCATTGTTTTCCAAATCAATGGTCAGAATTTTAATACAATTAACAAGTTGAAGGATCAAAATTTTCAAATAATATCAGCTATATAGTTCAATTCCTCAAAATAAACACACAAATTAACAGAAATCACACTTTAATTCCACCAAAAACAAAAACTCAAGATCTAGCACTAGTAAAAAAAATGAATTAGGCAACGTACCTTTGGCACCGGTTCTTGAAAACCGGTGGCAAAGGAAATGGGCGGGATATGCTTAATAACATTTGGCACTGGTTCCTCTTAAACCGGTGCCAACTCAACTATTTGGCACCGGTTCAAAGTGGTGCCAATTACAAAACAAAAAAAAAAAAAAAAAAACAGAAAAGGGATTTGGCACCGGTTCTAAACAAAACCGATGCCAACTACTTAAAAAAAACGGCAGAAAAGGGGTTAATGATAGCTTTCTTCTTCTTTCTTTTTCCCCTGCTTTCCCTCTTCTTCGTACGTTCTGCTCTTCTCCTTATGCACTCCATTGAAGCAGCTGGCATTTTTGCATCCCTCTCCATCTCGTTTTCCCTCCCATTTTCGCATCTCTTGCTCATCCCTCTCCTTCTCGTTTTCCCTCCCATTTTTGCATCTCCTGCTTTCCCTCTTCGTTTTTGCATCTCCTTCTGCACTCCATTGAAGCAGGTCTCTCTCTCCATTGAAGTGGTTTACGCGCATTCTCACTCCATTGAAGCAGCACCTACATTGAACCAAGCCTGGCCTCCGTTGAACTCACGCCATTGAACGTGCTCTATATTCTCCATTGAGGCCGATTCTAAGCTTTCTCACTTCCATTGAACAAGCTTCGAGGTAAGGTATTTCTTGTGGTTGTGCGAATTCATTGATTTTCTTTCGCGATCTAGGGTTTTTCATTGATTTTCTGTTCAATTTAGTAATTTCAGGGTTATGATAATATAGGGTTTGTAGTGTAATTTGCATCTGTTCAAGACTGCTTTGTAGTGTAATTTGCATATGCTCTTTTTCTTTATGAATTGGTTCAAGAGCAGATTTGTTGAATTCTGCTAATGTTAGTTGCTTGTTTCTACAAAGGCTTTTGGGTGCCATGGCGTAGTTGCTGCCATGTGACATTCTGGTAGAATGTTAGGACATTTGCTCGAGACCGAGACTATAGTTGAGGTGTTTCTCATGCTAATTTTTTGTATTTATAAGTGTTGGAATACAAATTTTGTATAAATTCTTTCTTGTATGGTGAGTTTTATTAAGATCAATGCATAACCCCAGACTTTTGTTTTTTGTTTTTGTTTTTTGTTTTAAATTTTTATAGATTCATATGTGAATTGAAGCACAAGTTTATAAGCTTGAAGACTACACATTTAGCTTAAGTGAGAAGTTAGAAACAATACATCCATTGTACTTGCTATATTGGTATGAATTATACACTTTACTAATAAGCTATATTTCTTTCTCTTTATTGTTTTAATAAAAGTTTTTTCATGCTATTACGACTTGTGTATTATTTAATGACAAATAAATACAATAATATATGAAATGCTTGCATCATCATATGCCTAGATACCCGTTCAAGGCTTTCTCATTAGGCAAAAGTCTTGAATAGTCCCCGGTTATGACTGTACTTGAACATTTACTCTCACTTAGGTGGTGAATGTATGTCTTTTTTTCGATTTTAAGGAACATCTTGGCTTACCATTTCCTCACCATGTTCTCTGGGTACATATGTGGGTAAGTTATTACCTACATTGTGTACTTGGAGAACTGGGGGAAATGCTGCCGGTTTTTCCTTAAAATTGGAAAGTCGACATACATTCACTAGTGAGATTACACGTTCAAGGATGGGTTAGGTTGGAGTGATAAGGACCCTTTGGAAGCATATATGCATTTTTGTATCTATATGAATGTTATATGCATGGTGTGTGTTTGAATTTGATTTACATATATAATAGATGTAGCAATTAATATGTTGCCATGTTTAGAGACAATTTACTTAATGGAGAAGGATCGTGGCTAAATGTATGGTAGACGTGATACATTGGAATTCTTTGATGGGGTTCAAGAGTTTTGCGAGAGGGCTTCATCTTATCAGCGCAGAATGGGTGTCGATTGGCTCTATTGTCCTTGTGTTGATTGTAATAATGTGAAGGTAGTCAATATTGTTGATATCATTAGAGATCATGTAGTTTGTCGTGGGTTTAGGCTTAAATACCATGTGTGGATTTGGCACGGTGAAGAAGGAGAGTACAGTGGGGATATTGATGGGAATGATGTGCATGATGATAGAAGCAATGACATTTGTGTGGACGAGGAATACAGGAATGATGAACATATTATTGATAATGGTGATGAGGATGGATTTGAGAATGATCAGGTGGATGAGGTCGGGATGAAGGGGTGGATGAGATGATGCGTGGTGTTGAAGGTGACGTGTTTGAGTCATATCGGAGGCTTCTAAAAAGCCTTTGTATCCTGGGTGCAAAAAATACTTCAAACTATCATCCGTGCTAACACTTTTTAACATTAAGTCAAAGCATGGGTGGACGGACAGTAGTTTTACTTCTTTGTTGACCGCGTTAAGTGAGATGTTGCCCGACGGGAATGAAATTCCTAAATCTTACTATTACGCAAAGAAGCTCATGTGTCCATTTGGTTTGGAGTATAAGAAGATACACGCATGTCCTAATGATTATATTCTTTATCGAAATGAATATGAACAATTGGAGGAGTGTCCACGATGCAAGAAGTCGCGCTTCAAGCGCATGAGTTGCAATGTTGGTACAAAGGGACCTCTTACTAAGGTGTTGTGGTATCTTCCCATTATTCCAAGGTTTAAGCGTCTATTCTCAACACCAAAAGACGCTATAAACTTGAGGTCGCATGCAGAGGGAAAAAAGAAAAACAGAATGCTGAAGCATCCAGCCAACTCCCCGTAATGGAAGAACATTGATATGCAGTTTGGGGAATTTGGTGATGAAGTCAGAAATTTAAGGCTTGGTTTGTGCACGGACGGGATGAATCCATTTGGCACTCTTAGTACCCAACACAGCACATGGCCGGTACTTTTGGTGATCTACAATTTGCCTCCTTGGTTGGGAAGCGTATCGAAGGATGATTGGGAAGCTTTCGTTCTTCAAAAAAGTAAAAAGGAAGCAATTGTAAGTTTAAGTAAATCTAATGAGACAATTGTATAATATATTAACTCTTTTTAAGGTAATGATACTAACATGTCTAATTATGTAGGAACTGAGGGAGCAAAATTCCAAAAATGCATTGCAGAGACAATACACCCATCGTATGGGGCCTAAAACATTTGGTGAATGAAGGGAAACGTGGGTGAAGGAGAGAGTATACCCCACTGCGCTTCGAGGGTCCTCCAAAGAAGCCTCTGATTCCACGACCACTACGTTGATGAGTCGTGCTGGCGATTTCATTTGTTCTCTGCATTCGCGTGACAAGAAAACCGGAAAATGGGTCATCAACGCTCCGGAAACCAAAGAAATGGCAGATAAACTCGTAAGCAACTATGAACTAGTGAACTTTATGAAGCTTTAGCATAAATATCACTTTACAAAAACATTAACTATATTCATGTTGTCTTTTTGTTTTTGCTACAGCTTGAGCATACTAAAGAACTGGTTGAAGGCAAGCTCGTCCCAACAGTAGATAAGGACCCTTTCACCTTGGCTTTGGGAAAGCCCTACCATCCAGGACGGGTATTAGGTGCGGGAGGGACCTTGCTAGGATGGGAAAAGGTGATTGGTCCAGAATATACCAAATCAGGAAGATCCCGAGCAAGTGTGAACTCACCGGTTGACTTGGATGCCATGGTGGCATCAATTAAGGAACAAGTGCGCAACGAGATGCGAGAAGAATTCAATGCTTGGGCAAAGCAACTGAACTTGCCGGGCTTGCCTTTCCCCTCGACTACACCGGTTGATTCATGTAGTCATCCACAAGGACAAGGAGAAGATGAGATACATGGAGACGATGATGAGGTAGTTTCATATCTATTAGTTTTGGCATATTGAGTTACGTGAGATCTAACGTGGCATTATTAACTTACCATTGCATGCTCGTACTCCTACACATGCAGACTCGAGGGAGCTTCATAATCCAACACCGGTTGACTTTCCAGATTTACAGGTAATTTGTTTAGTTCTTTGTAAATGTTCTTCATTTCTTCATTTTTGTCGTGTTTCTTCGTTTCTGTATTACTTGCATAACAATTGATCGGGAAAGGAGATGTCCGGGGTGATAGTATTAATTCTGTCAAGTTTCTGTGCTGCTTCTGTCTGTTGTTTATGTGCTATTTTTGTCGTGTTTCTGTGTTGTCATGCTATGATGCTGCTGTTTCTGTCATACTTTTTCTGTTTCTGTTTCACAGACCATTGTCATGTTGTTCCTATCATGTTGTTTATGTGCTTGCTGCCTGCCTGTTTCTGTGCTTGCTATTTCTGTCATGCTGTTTTTGTGCTTGTTGTCTGCTTGTTTCTGTGCTTGTTGCCTGCCTGCTGTCATGGTTGTTGTGATGCTGTTGTCTGCCTGCTGTGATGCTCTTGTCTGTCTGCCTGCTGTGATGCTGTTGTTTGCCTGTTGTGAGATGTGTTGTGTTGTTTCTGTGTTGTGTTGTTTCTTTGCTGTGTTGCTGATGTTTCTGTGCTGTGAGCTGTGTCTGTTGTTTCTGTGTTTCCTATGAGCTATGTTACATGTTGTGCCTGCTGTGAGCTGTGTTGTGCTTTTTTTGTGCTGTGTTGCTGTTGTTTCTGTGTTGTGAGCTGTGTCTGCTGTTTCTCTGTTGCCTGTGAGCTGTGCTGCCTGCTGTGTCTGCTGTTAGTTGTGTCTGCCTACTGTAAGCTATGAGTTGTGTCTGCCTGCTGTCTGCTTCTGATCTGCTGTGAGTTGTTGTTGTTTCTGCCTACTGTTGTGTCTGTGATGAGCTATTGCTGTGAGCTGTGTCTGCTGTGAGTTGTTGCTGTGTTGCTGGGAGCATATTGCACAACAAATTTACCCAAAAGCAAGGCAAAAGTACAGCAAAAATACACGACACAGAGGCTGTTTTTACAGCAGCTATGATTCCTTTATTAGAGGTTGTTACATGCTTAAAACTCAAGCAAAATACATCATTAACAACTTAAAAATAAACCCTAATGATACCTTAACATAATCATAAAATCGGTTTTGTTTTCGATTTTGTTTTCGGTTTTGTTTTCGGTGTGGGCGTTGTTTATAATCGCTTTGGAAGTGTTAATTTCTTCTTCCAAATTACTGCAGGAAGAGACCCGTTGTGCACTTCTACACCCGGGGCTATCAAACAGTGGACCTTTGCAGTTGGTTGCGTATGCTAGTGCACAACCGACCAATGGTACGGTCCATTCGCGACCGCTTAGGCCACAACATTACTCGGTCGGGATCAATTCTGTGGTTGCGGGGTTCGAGTACATCCGAGTACCGGTGCCCGTAGAGGAGGATGGGATTACTACACTCTGGGAAGTGAAAGGTAGCTTTGTGCAATGGCCATGTGATTGGGTAAGGTTGATCAACGAGGTAAGATTTTGGGTTCACTCTTTACTCTATGCCCGGTTGTCTTCCCAAGAGTTGGATGGATTTATTTTCTAACCAATTACGTGATTTGCTTTATCAGATTTCGAAGAAAAGCCAAACTTCAAAGAGAAGGAGGGTGGAGCAGCCTAAAAGCATTTATCAACCAGTGCCAAAGAAGAGGAGTGAACAACGGTCGGAGAGTGAAAAAGCGTCGAAGAAGAACTCTTCGAGAGGTTCAGCTATGCAAGCTACTCCACTTGTTGCAAACACGGTCCTTCAATACTAGAATCTCCACTACTAGAATCTTAGGCAACCACCCTGACGTGTTGTACAATGTTGAACGGAGTATCAAGGAATCAGTGCGTGCGGGAGACAAGTTCATATTGGCCCCATGTTATGAGGAGTACGTCTAACCATGTCAAATTCATTTGTTTCCCCTGATTATATGTTGTACATGGCTAATAATTGATTTGTTTGTCTATTGTGAATTTATGTAGTTTGCATTGGACCCTGCTGGTGATTTGTGTTTCCAATAACACAATCTTCCTTTATGATTCAGCTCGATTGCCTCATCCAAAAAAACTCCTCGTGAAGTCCATACTGCAAAAGTAAATAAAGCTACCTAGTGTTGATTATCATTACCTAACTCATTTATTAGTCATAGTAATCAAATTTAACCTTACTTTTCTATAGTGTTATGAAGAAGATAAATTGTCGGGCTCCTCAAGGTCCCACATGGAAATCACCGATGGTAATGCCACATGATATTGTGATTTTCGTAATAAACAATGTGTAAAAAATTACTAATTTGCTATATATATATATATGCATGTTTGATTCATGTACTTTGTTCCTATGCTAGTGCGCACAACAAGATAACGGAGTTGATTGTGGCTTATACGTGATGAGATTCATGTTTGAGATAGTAAGTCGTTGTACAAACACACTACAGCTTAATGAGGTATGCCATTGACTTAGTTTATTTGCTCTTAACATGTGATTTGACAAGAAATGTAAGAAATAGGCCTTACTTG